AGAACTCCCCTAATGGTGCACATGGTGCAGCGATTATGAGTGATCACGCGTGTTAGTTATGGTGACTTATTTGGAATCTGATGGTAGGCCTATTGTCTACATAATGCGTGATGATGATTTTTTTGGTGTTGGAGGTGGTAATGGTGATGGTAATGTTGGTGATGTTTGTGGTGTTGGAGGCGGTAATGGTGATGGTGATGTTGGTGATGTTTGTGGCGTTGGATGTGGTAATGGTGATGGTGATGTTGGTGATGTTTGTGGTGGGGGAGGAATAAGTGGTGGCGGCGGATGTGTTGGAGGTCATGAAGGTGATGATGGTGATGTTGGTGATGTTTGTGGAGGTGGTGCTAATGGTGTTGGTAATTGTGATGGTGATGGTTGTGTTGGTTCTGATGGTTGTTGTTGCGATTGTGGTGATGGTGCTGGTTGTGGTGGTAGTTGAAATGATTGTGGTGATTGTGTTTTAGTTGGTAGTGCTGATGGTGGTGGTGGTAGTTGTAGTAGTTGTGGTGGTATTTGTTATAGTTGAGGTGGTGGCGGTAATCGTTGTAGTGGTGGCGGTAGCGCTTTTGGTGGTGGTGGTGGTCGTGATAGTCGAAGTGGTTGTGATGGTGGTGGTGGTTGTGATTGTTGTAGTGGTGGTAATTGTTGTTCTGATGGTGCAAGTGATGGTGGTGGTGTTGGTGATACACAATATAGTTATAGAAGTTATGGTGATGGCGGTGTTTGATGTCGCGGTGGTGGTGTTTGATAGGGGGTTGATGTTAAATGTGTTGGTGGTGTTTATGTGGTGGTGGAGTTTGATGTGGTGGTTCTGGTGGTGGTGATGATGGTGGTGGTGCTGGTGGTGGTTGTTGTGGCGGTGATGGTGATGGTGGTGTTGGTGATGGTAAAGGTGATGATGGTGGGGTCGTGGTGCTGATGGTGACGGTGGTAGTGATGGTGGTGGTAGTGGTGGTGGTGGTGGTGATGGTGGTGGTGGTGGTGATGGTGGTGNATGGTGGTGATGATGGTGATGATGGTAATGGAGATTGTGGTGATGGTGATGGTGGTATTGATGGTGATGGTGGTGGTGAAGGTAATGGTGATGGTGATTGTGGTGATGGCGGTGGTAGTGGTGGTGGTGATGGTGATGGTAATGGTGATAGTGACATTGGTGGTGGTGGTGGTGGTAGTTTTGGTGGTGATGGTGATGGTGAAGGTGGTGGTGAAGGTGGTGATGATGATGATGGTGGTGATGATGGTGGTGGTAATGGTGGTGGTGATGGTGATTGTGATGGTGATTGTGGTGATGGTGGTAATGTTGGTGTTGGTGATGATGATGGTAATGGTGATGGTGGTGGTAGTGGTGATGGTAATGGTGGTGGTGATTGTGGTGATGGTAGTAGTGTTGGTGGGGTGATGGTGGTAGTGGTGGTGGTGATGGTGATGGTGGTGGCGATGGTGGTGGTGATGGTGGTGGTGATAGTGGCGATGATGGTGGTGGTGATGATGGTGGTTATAGTCATGGTGGTGGTGATGATGATGGTGACGAAGATGGTAATGATGATGGTGCTGGTTGTGCTGGTGATGGTGATGATGGTGGTGGTTCTGTTGGTAATGGAGGTGTTGATGGTGGTGGTGCTGGTGGTGGTGATGTTTATCGTGGTTGTGTTGGTAATGGTGATGGTCATGGAGGTGTTGATGGTGATGGTGGTGGTGGTAATGGTGAGGATGGTGGTGGTGTTGAATGTGGCAGTGGTGGTGGTGATGGTGATGGTGTTAGATGTGGAAAAGGAAAGTGCAGCCTTGGTCAAAGATATCAGACTAGAGAAAATGTAGGTCCTGTCCCATCGAGAAGCTGGACTAATATCAGGTTGTCACCTTTATGTTTAGTACTCAAAAAGATGGAAGTTGGAGATTGATTGATCATTTATCTTTTCCAGATGGTACCTATGTAAAAGAGTGTATAGTCAGTGCTGCTTACCTGGCGAAATGGATATCAAATCTG